AAGAACTTCGTTACGCACGGCGTCGATTTTCTATTATCGTGCCTAACGTTATACGAAGGGTGGTATGCTTCATCTGGCGTGACTGCGGATGGCGTCGCGACGCCAGGCGTCAGTTTCTAACTTCGTCATCAGTGATATTTAAATTCATCTCCTATAACTTTGGCGCCATGATAGGGCGTCGCAATGTTCGGCGTCGCGACGCCAGGCGTCGGATTCCTAAAGTTGCAACCAATGTTATCCGAATCGTTAGTCACATTCCTGGGTCTTGTGATGACGTCGTGACGATAGGCGTCGCGACGCCGGACGTCGCTTTTCTACTCTTGTCTTCAGTGACGTCTAACTAAATCTGCGGTGTCTTTTGAGTTATTAGACGGTGCAGTGATGCTTGGCGTCGCGACGCCTGGCGTCGATGTTCCAACTCTTTCGCCAGTGTTATTTCAAGGGCACCAAATTTCTTGCGTGTTGTAATGGCGCAGTTAAGTGCATGTTAGGTTAGGTTCGGTTGGCGTCTTCGGTAAAATTTCGTCCTTCAAGAACTTCGTTACGCACGGCGTCGATTTTCTATCATCGTGCCCAACGTTATACCAAGGGTCGTATGCTTCATCTGGCGTGACGGCGGATGGCGTCGCGACGCCAGGCGTCGTGAGTAGTGATATTTAAATTCATCTCCGATAACTTTGGCGCCATGATGGGGCGTCGCAATGTTCGTCGTCGCATCTCAACAATTACTCCACTTTCATTATCATCTCGCAAGAAAAGTCCTTCATTTGGTCAGAGAGACACAGGACAACTATAAAAACTAAAAAAATTGTGGACATGATCTCCATATTCCATGTGCATGAAAGGAAATTTTAAGATAAACAGAGTTTAAAATTTCATTTATCAAATATGTTGGAACTACGAAGCCATGAAAATGATGTTCTCTACTGTTGCAGCTTGTAGTATTTTGGCTTTTTACCATTGTTTCGAACGAATATGCTACCTCCTTCTTCAGGGTTGAAATTAAACTATAAACATTTAATTACTCACTTCAGTTCTGAAAATGCAGCAAGACAATCACACAGCACAACCCAGAAGACCTCCACCAACATTCACCTTTAAAGCCAAGTGGTAACTATATGTACCACCTACTTTAACAGTAACTGTGCATTTTTTATTAATGGGTCTTGTTTCATTCTCAGTGTAAAGAGTGATTATTTCCAGCGTAACAAATTCATCTTCATAACACTGAGGTGTTTTCTTTGTGGTATGCAGCATTACAGTAGACAGTGGTAAAATCAGGCAATAAAGTAAAAACAACGCAAAACATAATAAAACAGGAGACACGAAAAATACTGGCCCCAGAAAAATCTGTCTTCAGGAAAGGTGTCTCCACCGAAAATGTGGCCTTCAAACTAACAATTTGTTAAAATCTATTTACCAGAAAGGTATTTTCTGCGATTTAGAAAAAGTTGATGATTGTGCAAATCACAAAATTTTGTTAACTAGCTTACATTTTTATGGCATTCAATCAACCGGTAAAAATGGTTCAGAACACGTCTAACAGAAAGGAAACAAAAGATCAAACCAAAATCACCTGAAAATAACAAAAAATTGTTCGGAAACTGGGGAACAATTAAACATGGATTTCACTACGGGTCAATTCTAGGGTCCTTGGTCTTTGTAATAAAATTGTGATGATTTCAGTGCAACATCAAACAGTTCTCTCTTATGAGTAAATGGTTTACTGCTAACAAACTGGCCCTAAATCTAAAATAAATATAATGAAATTTATAACAAATAACTCACCAAAATACGTTTGTAAGCACAAAATCCCTGGATTTGCAAACTGATAACCACTTTATCTGGACAAATCATATCGATAAACTGACTGGGATACTGGGAACGACCCGTTCTTCAAGTTCCTGAGCACTGCGGGTCCCAACTTCTCGTTGGCTTTGATCTATAGACATTCGGTAGGACTCCTTGGACGAGGGATCGGCCCGTCGCAAGGCCTCTACCTGTACACAGGACACACAGACATCCATGGCTTGAGTGGGATTCGAACCCACGGCCCCAGCGACCAAGCGACACAAGGCCCACGCCTCAGACCGCGCGGCCACTGCGGACCCCTGATAAACTGACATCTAAGTTAAACAGAACATGTCAGCTACACTGACAGTCAACTCAGCTAATTTTTCCTATTTTCACTCCATACTAAAGTATGGAATAATTCTGTCTGTCTCTAATACAGCAACAATTTCTTAAATCTTTTAGGGAAATGGCGAGTTCTGGCGCCGCAAAATGAGGACTTTCCATGGTATAATTGACATCAATAAGGATGGCGTCGTGTCCTACGACGATTTCGTCATTCTGGCAGAGAGATTTGTCAATTTGGGACATCTGTCAGAAATTCAGCAGAGGGAATTTCAAGATGTACTTCGGGTAAGAAAAGCCTTTTACGACCAGCTGACTAACGGAGTCCGTCTTGAGAAGCTAACAGCACTAGTCAACGAGCGTTTAGTAACATGATTCTGCATTAATTCTGACACGCTCATTGCAAATTTGGACTTATGAGATCTGCATCTGTCACAATTTAGATAAGAACAGTAAAGAAAAAGCTGTCTCACTATACACCATGTAGGCATTTGGGGGGAGGGTCTACAGCAATCAGACCAGTGGACATAAAAGCTAAGTGCTCAATTGAATGCAGTGAAAGTCCAGTGAGGTGTTATATAACTATGGTTTTGTAAAGTACACACCTTTTATGATCTGTAAAAAAACCATAATCTTATTGATTTGTATTATTATACGAATTAATTTGTTTTGCCACTGATAATGACCTCTTGAAGTCAAAACACGTTTGGCATTATTATCCTTCAAAAGTGTAAACAGTTTTGTTTGTATGCATGTTTTGTTTTATATTTACAAAAAATACTCTTAAAATTAAGAGACAGTAAAATATATTTTCAGAGAGATGCTTTGATTTCCTTAAACTGTAGCTGGGATCGTCTCTTATATTAATACAGCAAATTAAAAATTATTGGAGCAACTGTGAACTGATTTGAACCAGTTCTTTAATTATCATTTTGGGTTCAATGTTTATGTTCATATTAAAGGTTATGTTCAAAGCCTTGTTTACAACTGAATTAGATTCTATACCAAGAACTTAACAAGCTTAAAAAAATGTAAAAATTAGGGTAATAACTGATGAAGAAAGGCATACCAGTGAGAACTATGATGCGTAGAAACTTTGTTATATTTGACGTCCTACCATAAATAATAAAAAATGGCAGTCCTACAAACTTATGAGGTAACAACAACACTAGAGTCATTAACATTCTGTGTGGTAAAATAGCTATTAAAATTCATTAAGATAGTTTTTTGTAGAATATAACAAAACAAAATGGTGTCCGTGGGTAGAGTCTGTGCTGTTGATCTTCTGGGTAGTATGGACTATTAGGCAGAGACTGATGTTCCTTTTAAATGTTGGTATCTACTTACAAGTCCACACTACCCAGAACAACACTGACACCTTTACTACTACAAGTACCTCAAGCCTTAACTTCTTCTTCTTCAATGGCTCTCTGGTCCGTATTCGGTCCATGGCCTCCTCGATCCTCCTCTTCCATTCTGTCCTCTTGTTAGGTCCGTCTGTCCGAGGCTTTGATCGAGGTCTCGAAACATCTTCCTCTTTACAGTGCAAGGTTGTTTGCCTTGCGACCAACCCCCAACCTGGAGGACCAGGGTACCTGTCTTAGTCTGACCTCTCCCTCTCGACCAATCTGGCTAGGGAGGCCCTACCAGTAGCCATGCTACCGCTGAATAATTTAATCTCAGTGTTATGGATGGTTGCAGGAAGTATGGGAGAAGCAGTGGGGTGCTGTGGATCGCTATAATTTGGTGACAACGGAGCAGTACCTGCAGCACATGCAACATGTTCTCAGTGACAAGTACCTCAATAGGAAAGCACACCATTTCCTGCCCTACTTGTTCAAGGTGCACCACATTATATTCACTTAACCTAAAATAAGATTTCCTTTTCTCATTACGTGCCGTAATAGACTGCCACATGGTTACGTTTACCACCAGTACCAATGATAATACAGTAAAACATCTCTAAGTTGGACTCTTGGGGTTCCATGAAAATGTGTCCAACTTACAGAGGTGTCCAAGATACAGAAATCAGATTGTGGTCTAATGACAATATAATCTATTTACTTACATACACTAACTACTGCAGGCTTACTTGAATTAAGAATTAATGACAATGGTATTAATAATAATCTTTTGAAGCCCACTCCGATGCATTGCACATTACACCCCAGACTCAATAACATTTTCTAAAGTTTATTCCACCAATTTCCGCTTCCCCATCGCAAAAAGAGAAATTCCATTTCTGTTAACACAGTCAGAACTCAAATGTAAGCACAGTACTGATGGAGTTAAAACTGTGTCTTCTGCGATACTGTAGTCCAGTTAAGGGTTCAGCAAAAGAATGGTTAAACACTTACAATGCATTCCATAATCCTCCAGAGAGGAGGCATTCATCAGTCAGAAATTCAAAATATGTAACTGAAAAAGTTTCCCTGAAAAGCATCGAAGCATGAACCTGTCCAAGTTACAACAAAAGTGGTGTTCAAGTTCCAGGATAAAGGGGTGTCCAAGATATAGGGTATCGTGGACATGTAAAATTATAGGATATTCGCCGGTTCCAATTAAATGTGTCCAATATAAAGGGGTGTCCAACTTGAGGGGTTTCACTGTACTAAAAACAACATTAAGTACAGTAGATATCCTACATAGCAGCAAATCATCCAGAACTGACTACTCATTATTCACTTGACTGTCATGTTACGATGCTCACAAAAGTTCACCACTCGACCCTATCCTCTGTCAGTTGTTTCTAGGACATTGCCCCGAATGTAATTTCTGAAGACCCATTTTAATACTCATCTTACCTGTTACTTCCTGTTTCATAGGCCTAGATATTCTCCTCAGATACCTTCAGACTATGTTCCTTGATTAGAGTAAGAAACCCAGTTTCACACCCACACAAAACAAGTAAGAATTATATTTTAATGCAATGCAAACAAAATTGAGTTGGAAAGCCAAAAGGGAAGAAACCATTCAGAAGACCTAAGCATAGATGGAAGGATTAAATTAAAATGGAACTGATAGAAATAGTGTTGGAGGGAGTGGACTGGACTCATGTGGCTTAAGATCTGGACCCGGTGGTGGGTTATTGTGAACACAATAATGCACATCTGAGTTTCAGGAAGAAAACAGGGAATATCCTAATTAGCTGAGCTCACCATAAGGTTCTCAAGGACTCTTCGCCATGGAGTTAGTTAATGTTTAGCTTTTTACACAGGACATGGGAGGATAAAAGATTCTGGACTCAGCAGTAGCAAGCATTTTCAAAATTTAATCTGCTCCTAATGTAATTACAGGTCACCCTTCTGAGTTATACCTACTGTTCACACTCGTACTCTGATGAGCACAGTTATCAGGCAATATACCATATATTGTTTTACTTCATATAAAATAAAAAAATTCTTACATCTAGCAGAAAAAAAAATTGCTACGCTGCAATTTAAGAGGAACATTTCAAGTCCACAAACTGTTACAAGAAAATGAACATATTCACTGCAATGAGAACATCAACTCTCATGCAATATAACTGCTGCAGTTATGTAACCATTAATCTCTAACATATTCCAGATCAGGAACTTGCATTTTTCTTTCTGATTTTAACCATATTTTTGTGGAATATGTAAAAACTTAAAAACAACGAGAAATAGCCAGTGCATAGGTTAGGGGTAGTTCTTGATTTGAACATGAACAGGTTTCAGATTTAAATTGTAGTAAAAAAATAACTTTTTAGGTTGGCAATGACAATGACAGTGGTAATTTCTTTTTTTTTTCGTATCCAGTACACACCATTCGGCATGGTGTGCATTGGTGGTTAGCAGGATTCACGACCCTTCAGTACATGGGTTCGATCGGGACTGCAACATTTAACGCTCCTGCTGTGACCCTCCTTTTTGCGAGATGATGATGAAAGTGGAGTAATTGTTGGGATGCCGCGGAGAAACCGGGGAAACCGCGGAGGAAAACTCCGTGATGCCTAGACCACGGCCTTGCTCAACACAAGTTGTAAATCTGAGCACCGCCGGGAATTGAACCCGGGACCCCAGTATTACAAGCCCACAGTGGTAATGAAATTACATGCAGAGCAACTATAAGCTTTGTGAGATTTTAGGATCTCGTTGCGGCAAGTATGAAGATGCTGTGATGGTACATGGTTGAAAATTACCGGTTCACATATTGAAAAGCGGTTGTCCTGGTGGTTTCTGAATTATTCTATAATACAACTGTTGTGTTTCAGGCTGTGGATAAAGACAGGGATGGAGTAATATCAGTCGAAGAGTTCAAACTGTTCTTTGAATGTTTGGGGCTGGAAGACAAGGTACGAACAAGTCTCCTTCTATACAACAGTATATTCTGGGAAGAAAATAATACATTTATTATTTGCACTTCAGACACGTAAACAACATCCACATTATTAATAAGTCAAACAGGCCATATTTGTATTCACCGCTGTGAGAATATTAAATCCTACTTAGTACGGAGGCGATTAGTGTTTGGTGTTAGCACGATACTGTACCACAGTGGTCCCCAACCTTTTTGTGCCTACGGGTACATTTGAAAGTTTATGGGATCGTGGCGGGCACCAACCAATTAACGAAGCCAAATTTTCTTTTCTCTGGACAAATAAGACATGGACACCAAATAATACGCAAAACAACACAACGTTTAATGATACAAGGAACCGTGCAATCAAAAATACGTACTTTTATAAGTACAATTATTATTACTCAAGTGGGAAGTTAGTGCGATGTTTGGCACTGCATTTCATTGGCCAGTTTTTCAAATTTGGGAGTGTAGGATGATGTTGCTGCTTGCAAAGAATCGTCAAGATGGGTGTCAGTAAGTCGAGATCTGCGCTTTGATTTTATAATGTTCGTGGTTAAACGGCCTTCATTATTCAGTATAACCTCTTTTCGTATCAACGTGCGCACCCAAAAAAGCCTTGGCGGACGCCATGGCACCCACGGGCACCGCGTTGGGGACCAATGCTGTACCATTTTATATAATACCGTAAAATACTTATTAAGCAACATGTTGAAATGATGAGTCGTCAATCTCAAATAGAATTACGAAATATCAGTTCCAAGGAATAAGACTTATGAAGAGCTCAAAACAAATGAGTGTTCTGTTTTGCAGACGAACAACTAGTGAGAAATATGGCAAAGGAATATTCAAATGAATTTCCCTGGCTAATGTGTTGTCAGTGTGCCATTAAACAGAAACTCTGATTTTGTTTTCTGTCCGCAGGATGCAGTTCACAGTTTTACAGCAATAGATATCAACAAAGATGGATACTTGAGCCTTGAGGAATTTGTTAAGCTTGGTCGAGAATTTTTCCTGACAGAAGACGAACACAGTCCTAGTAAAGCATTCTGGGGCCCACTTGTAAACCCATAAGAGGGAAAACATTTCATTTGAAGTGCAGAACTTCTGAAACATATCACACTAATTTTTACATTTTTGTAACGCGAAGTCTTTTATTCAAGTGATGTGGCACTTGTAGTTTTTAATAATAATTTTATACTTTATAAACTTTTAAGTATAACATATTGAAAATTAACACTTTCAGCTCTGAAGTATTTTTAGAATTGAGAAAATAAGTATTTATAATAACGTGCATAATGTAACATATAAAAGTTACATATTTTTATTTCTATAGATTATAAATACTTATGTGATGAAAATGATGTCATTTTGTTCTTACTAAATCAATTAAAAACTGTCATCCTTGAAGCTAGAAGGACTTTGGGAACAAATAAATTATGATTATGATTATGATGAGTAATAAAATGGAAGAATAAAATAAATGACATTAAAAAAAGTAACATTAGGCACGATAGAACATACACAACTTTAACACTCTGAGCTTTATGACAGTGGCGATGACAACTACTACTGCTGCTACTACCATCACTGCTGCCACAGCCACCACCACCACCATCATCATAATATTAAAACACTAAAGTACTAAAATTCATGTTTTATTAATTTAAACTTACCTAGATCTTCTACAAATGATGTGGATATGTTACAAACCTGTTTCTCTTTTTTCTGGTCTTGACCTCGGATTTTGTCCTCATTGCATTTTATACCTCTCCTGTTAGTACCTGAATAACCTCTTCAAGGCCTGTTTGGATCTCTTATGTCTTCTTCCTGTGTTATGCTTTATTTTCCATACAAAATACTTGTTCGCGCCATTTGAGCCGACACATTAATGAAACAAAGAGAATAAAGCTTCTACGTAGGCTACGGCACCACAGTTAATGCGGCTACGATTTTGAGAAATCACGTGCTTACAGATTTACGTAGGGCAGTCAAAAAGTTCCCGAAATTGTGGTGTAGCACTGTAATGGTAGGACATATGACAACGCTTACCTAATCACCTTCAAAGCAGGACCCTTGCGCACACACACACTTGCTTCATCGATCCTGCCATTGTTGGAAGCACCGGCAGAAGGCTTCGTTTGGAATCTTCCGGAGTTCGGCCATCACATTCTATTTGATGTCCTCCATGGTTGTGAAACGCGTCCCCTTGAGGCCCATTTTCAGAGTAGGGAACAGCCAGAAGTCAGTCGGAGCGAGATCCGGAGAGTATGGTAATTGAGTGATGACGGAAATGCTTTTCTCGGCGAGGAATTGCTGCATAACAAGCGATGTGTCGAATGCGACGGCCAAACTCCAGAAGATTCCAAACAAAGCCTTCCGCTGATGCTTCCAACATTGATGGAGCAGGTGTGTGTGTGTGCGCAAGGGTCCTGCTTTGAAGGTGATTAGGTAAGTGTTGCCATATGTCCTACCATTACAGTGCTATACCACAATTCCGGGAACTTTTTGACTGCCCCTCGTAGAATGAAGTGCACTTTTAGATAAAGTATTAGATCATGAAATTAGTAGATACGGTTCAGATGAGCGAGTTCCGAAGGTAAGTATTACATGCAACTAGAGGTTTAAGGAACCCACAAAGTTAGTGACAGTGTTGATGGAGATGATATTGTGACACACGATGATAAACAGATGGAAATAGGATGGGTTTCAAGAACTTTTTCGTGGATATTGTTCAGTTTTTTTGCTAAAGTGCAATTAAAAATTAAATACTCAAATTTGTTAATACGTGAAATTTAAGGAAAACAAAAGTGGAAAGAATTTTAATTTATATAAAATAAGTACTACTAAAACACTTTTAATAAACCTTTTTGTAAAGTAATTCCATATCAAAATCATCAACTTACATAACCCCACTTCCTACTTATGACAAACTGCAGACCTAAACATTAAACAAGGAAACAATCCTCATATGAATTATAACCTTCACGGGCTAAGAAAAATCACAAGCCCATTTCACGTTTACAGATTTCAACCATTTTTATAAGGTCGGCAATCTCTGTAGTCCTGAAAAAATAAAGATAATATCTCAATTACAAAAAATAAACACAGTACTCATACATTTTAATACCAGACAAAAATCAAAAGGAAAATTTTTTGTAGGAATGACAATTCTGGAGATTTAAAATTATTAATATTATAACAATTTTTTAAATTCCTGTACTAAAATCCTCTCACACACAATCAGAAATGCTGGTCTTTTATTTAATTCTGACAATCCTGATTACCCAATAGGATTTTAGTGCCCCTAAGCTTCAAGCCTCACATAATACGCCGCTAAAACAAACAAACCTTTCCAAAATCATGTGTCAGTCCAGGTTCGTGGATTGATTCCCGAATGGGATGAACCTTGAGATGAGGGGTAAACCAGGCTTTCGCATATTAATCTGGTTTATATAAACGAAGGTGGTGTGATTAGATGATATTTGATACGCCTTACTTCATCCAAATTTGAGTTATTTTATTAATTTTGGCATTGTTAAATGTATTAAATTGGAAGAGAGTGGCGACACTCAGTTTTGAAAGTCTCTCCTCCTCACATTCCGTCTAGCGGGAACTTGACTTTAACAAAGCTTTTGTACTCGTAAAAGTTGTTTACGAGGCAAAAACTTAAGCCCTTCCACATGTGGAATGACGGTTTGCCCGACAACCATCGTCTCACTGAGACTGGAATCAATGAAATTCGAATGTGGCTTTTAGGCGCGTTTCCGAAGTCATGGGGTGACTCTTTGGGCGATGAATCGGATCGCCGTATTAAATTCAAAATTTAAGAAAAGTTACGTTGCGGGGGTATTTATAGCAGGATTGTGTTGGTGCGGGCTCTCAAAAATTTTGGTTCTTCAAGTCAAGCGGACAGTTTCTGCTTGTACCTTCAAATTTCAAGTACAAATACAACAGCCGAATCATCGCACTGCTTTCCAAACAGAGTAATTGGCTGTACAACAGTGTGTCTCGAAGCGCAATAAAAGGTGACATCTTCAAGGTAACTTCGATGTGGTCTTCAGTTGCTCAACGCCAGAGATTTCACTTCCTTCGCGCAAATGCCGCTCCAACCATCACAGTCCCCGTATACTCCCTAAGATTCGGAGACCCTTGCTCTCCGACAAAACCTGCACCAAATATCCCTTCATATCCTTCCACATACCGAAATTTATATCTCAAGCTGTAACCGCACACAAACCGGGCACGTTACTGGGTTTGATCCAGTGGCAACCAAAGTAAGAAGAATCGTCTGCGGAAGGGCGGTTGCAATCACAACATAAACACACGGAGACATACGTAATACTTACATCTGAGCCACTTCAGCTTTGACGTTCTTCATTTGAGGTTGTCTCAAAAATGACTCCCCTAACTTCTGACTTGACACCCACTGTTCCATCTGCACGAAAGAAAGAACAAATTACTGAATTACTGTAACATCTGTTGCAGTGTTATTACTTTACGGTGCCTATGGCCTATCCGAGAGAGGAGTGTGCGTGTTTAGAGGTACGTCAGCGTCTTTGGTTATTTTTGTCTGTATAGCATTAAATTTCTAAATTATTTGCCTGAGCCCTAGTGGAATTAGATTACATTTTCCAGACTGTAAAGTGGCCTTGCAGTAAGTTTGAGGATAGAAAAAGTCAACTTCTTGCACAAAATAGAACACACACATTAAAAGTAATAAAAATCATGCCTGTCCAATGATGGTTAAAACTACAAAATTAGTACAAAAAAAGGCTGTGTGTTTAAAACTGATAAAGATGTCAGGCTGTAAAGTGGCCTGCCATGTAGCACAGAAATGACGTGAATAAATAAACAGATTAGAATTTCTACATCTTGGTAAAACTTTTAAAGTGACATAAAATACCACCACTTAAACAGAAACGGCAAGGTCTATACCACATTGGAATGCAATATTAAAAACAGTGATCATTCCCAAGGACGTCATGCAAAGTTCCATAAAAATTAAACATGTAACAATCTCCATTTTAAAGTGGGCCCTCCAGTACGATGGGTAGAACGGAAAGGTGTACGCCACACTGCCTAGAGTTAGGTACTGGTTCACCGTGCAGCAAATCCCCACGCATCAATTAAGTGTACTGACGCAAATGTGTGCGACCATAACCTCTTCCTTCCTGACAGACCTGAAGGAGCTGCCTCATGGATGTCTTCACTGCTTGCAACTTACTGTGTACGGTCAATTAATCTCGCCAACATGACACGACGGAGTGAATTAGAGAGGTTTGAACATCACTGCCCACAGCCAAGTCAGACGTAATATTTCCAAGTACAGCAGCTGCACTGTTGAGAAGGCCTGTGGCCAGGTACCCAGCAGAAGATAATAGATGTCTCTGCTTGATTCTTTTTATTACGCCGTCTCCTTTACAGGAGGTTGGCGACATATTATGAACAGGATCCTTCCATCCTTTTCTCGGACTGGGACCTGTTCATATACGTTCTTGGCAGATGATCCAGAAGTGGTTTGCCATTGCCTTCTTCTGTGTGTGAATGGAGTAATTGTTGGGATGCCACGGAGGAAAACTCCGTGTTGCCTAGACCACGGCCTTGCCCAACACAAGTTATAAATTCTGGCACCGCCGGGAATCGAACCCGAGACCCCAGGATCTCTGTTTGATGAGAGAAGGAAATTTGGTTGAGACTCTCAATATCATGTGGATGGTCTGATGTACCCATGGAGACTCTATGAGAGACTGAGTACGAATTTCTATCAAATTTTCCAGTATTAAATTATATATGATACTGACAGCCAACTTTATTTTTGTTATTTGACAACCAGGAAATTCAAAGTGAACTCTTGAATTAATTTCACTGAACAAAGACTCGGGCATGTGACAAACGGCCTAAACCAAAAAAAAATATTTGTTCACACGTCTTCTAATTAAAGCAAAATTGTATACACATGCTTATATAAAGGCCAGTTCTGTAAAATAAAACTCATAATATACCTGTAATTTGTAATATTTTTGTTTTGCCTTCATTTGTTCGAAAGACTTCTGGAATTCTCTGAAGAGGTCTTTGAACCCCTTCGCATCTCGCAAAAGCTTCTTATCACCTGACGACAAAACTGGCTGGCGTTGGCACACTAGGTGTAGAGCATGTTCAGCCCTGGTACAAACACACACCAAGATCCGTTTAGAACTACGGCCTTCAAATATATACGTACATATTCTCTGCACAAAGTAAATTTAACTGAGAAAGGTTACATCTGTCTGTGCACTTATCAACTTATACTTACTTTTCTTCTTAAAAAAAAAAAAGGTGGGAAAAATGCAATCTAATTTATGCACTTTTCACAAAAACTGCCAAAAACTATGTGAACATAAGAGATCTGATGTTAAGATGTCAATGTAGGTCTTCGGAGTCAAAATGCTGTGTCGACTGGTAGGTAGATGCCAGTTTTTCAGAGTACCATACTGCCTCCAGTACTACCCAAAAAACCTACATCGATATGAAAACCAGTTTCAAACATCAAGATTCCTCTTAACTTATTCATTAAAAAAAAAGTATAAACAGAACACAATGCTGTCTTAATTAGACAGGCGACTTTCAGTTTAAATTTTACTAATCAAGTATTTTGTTCGCTATACTGTGTTTTATCCCATCCTTACCAAAAACTTCTATATATAATTCATCTTCTCTTGCACACAATCTACAAATTGATTTTATATCCAGAGCCTCCTTTATCTGTAAACACCATTATCTAGAATGGTGTTCTTATGAAATCAGGGACACCAACCTACAAATATATATAATAAGCAACGCGTTTATATTCGCACACTATTTCAGTGCTATATCAAGCACTAGATGGGGGCGAGTGGTCAGCATCATGCCCCGGCTGTGCTTTACCCCTGGGAAAGGACCCTAGTACCCATTGGATAGGAGGCTGGGTGGGTCCCACAGCTGGTCTCGATACAAAGGCTAGAGATAAAGTCGTCTGCCCATCAGGGATTGAACACTGGTCATCCAGTCTGTAACCAGTCACTATACCGACTGAGCTACCTGGCTCTTGAAGCTCTTTATTTCAACAAAAAGTTTTTGAGGTCACTTGAGAAGCCAAATGACGTGAATATTAAACTGATACTGATGTATACAGTTTTTACCATGTGACAATAATCCTGGATGGGAAAGGAGTTGTGCACCGGGTATTGGTCGGGAAGCCTGAGGGGAAGAGACCGCTGGGGAGACCTTGACGTAGATGGGAGGATAATCTCAGGCGGGATCTATCGGAGATAGGAGTTGAAGGAAACTGGATTTTGTTGGCCAAGGACAGGGTCCGGTGGAGGGCTTTGGTTAATTCGGTGATGAATTTCGGGTTCGGTAAGCCATCTAGTTAGTTAGTTAGTTGGTTAGACAATAATCCTTGGTACTGCACAAATCAGCCAACCACCGTCTTGTTTTAATCGCAGAATGGCAGCTGTAAGACGAACACAGCTTGCCAGATGCTACTAAAAAGGAGAAGTAAACTTCATATTAGACTATAAAATTACTTCTATATTATAACGCATTCTGCAAACTACGCCATGCCTTTTAGTTAATCCCTCTTGCTTATCCTTTGTATCCTCATATTTTTCTGCGAGCTGTTCGGCTGTTTGTTTGAGATTCACTTTCTGCTGTTTCATGTGCTCCAACTCCTGTAGCTGATGCCGTTTCAGAGTCTGCAGTGTCCGAACCCTGGCAACATACAGACTGCTAGTCAGTGGCCCATTTTTTAGTTTTCAGCCATTTATGATTCACAGATTGGTAAGAACGCAATATGATTCTGAAGGGGAAATGCGTTGGAAAATAGCTAATTGGAAGACTGAGGTTATGGAAGGATCCTTTGAATTCTAATACTGGAGAGTTGTTAGGCAGTTACCACACCTTCTTTCAAATTCTTCTCTAACACGATCATGTCTCTGTAAGTATTCTTCTCGAAAAAGCTGAGTGGTTCTGCTTACCAACTGAAAAGAAAAGAATTTAAATTATATGAAGTGTACGCTGTCGACCGGGAAAGATTTAAGGATGACGTCTAAGCGCATAATAAACAGCAGTAGGAAAAACATAACAGTTCAAACTTCCACTAGAAGTGAACAAGGTAACACCACCAAAAGCAAATATTTAATATTAGCAGAGTGGCTGCAGTGTTACTGGGGGGGAATTTGAGGAATGCTCGATCTTAACTGCCCAAGAGCCTTCCATAGGGATTATCATTTGACATGTATTGTTGAATATGATAGGAAAAGTTATCCCCAATCCCAACATCTTCACTGGGACTCCAAAGGAGGGTAGATTTTTGGGTTTCTGACCTATGGTCTTGTAATCTCTTCACCAAAACAAGCAACATTAGCTTCCAATATACAGAAACCAACTTCATCTGGCGATTTCAGGATTGTGGCCTTTTTTCTGTAATCTATTCTTTGAAGAAAGAAAGAAAAGAAAGAAGCTTTGGTCTCAGCGCAGTTCTTCTATTATGCTTAGTTTCTGAGTTACAGGAACCAACTTCACCAGGACTTGAACTCGAGTCAATTTTTCTGCGTTTTGACCTTCCTAAAATCTCTTCCTAGTATCAAGGAATAAGAATGGCAAATTTGGTACAAATAAATATATACACTCTCAAGATATAAGGGGGAAAAATATACATCCAGAATTTCAGTTTTATATAAAATATGTGAAATACCCCACATTACATTAAAATAATAAATTGAAAATAATTAAAAGAATTAACAAAATCACAAAAAAGCTAATAATATGTGTAGGAAGAAAAATCATAAGCATAAATTTAAAAATTGAAGGTCCATTTTGATATTTTCTTTTAGTCTATACCTAAATTGTCTGATAATTTCAAACAAAAATGTATATGCACTTATTGTTTCCATCATTCTTGAATTAATCAATAAAATATCAGGCATGAAACTCATTTCGCAACATTCTATGTCCTCCTCTCCTAGTTTAAAATATTCCCTCGGCACTTTGTTCTCAGACATCCTGTTGCCTCCATCGTAACGGTGCATTGCCCCGATGGACCTCAGAAATCGTGGTAATCTTCTACCAGACGACAGCCATCTTTGTACACACTCTCACGAGAACCTCAAATCCTATTAACTTGATCCCTGTGACAGTGTCCTCATATGACGCACACTGACAAAACCAAAAACACCCCGACGATGTGGACAAAAATGGTTCTCGAAACGTTGGCATTTTCTTCATCAAGACACCTTACGTGGCTGGTGGCCCAAGAAGAATTCATTACACCAAAAATATATCTTAAAAACAGTTACACTGCAGATTTTTTAATATTTTCTTACCTCCATACATTCTTGAGGAGAAGGATCGGCACTTGGTCCCAATTTTAGAATTGGTTGCGTAATGTTACGCTTCAAAAACTTTTTGATGTGAACATCGAACGACTCCTTCAATAACTGAAATAATTTCATTACAATATTAAAATTTTACACTTTAAAACCGGTGCAACATTTTATTACTGAAAGTAGCTATCGGCACAGTGTTAAAAGTGCGGTGAGCGTTACCAAGAATTAGAATATTTAATCCTGTGTATGTGCTCTATTTTATTCATTTCAAGGTTGAAATAATAAAATATTATGGCAGTAAAGCGTCACGCACTCATGTGACCTCAGCAAAGTTGTCCGGCCACTTTAGTGGATCAACATTCAATCTCTACAAAGCGGCAAAGAAAAAAAATTAACTTCAGCATTTCAGTTGCAGCCATTAACATATTTGTCCAAGCTAATAGCAGATGACGATTACTATTAAAACTGTAGTTTAATCACTTTCAGGGGTTGTGTAGTGCTGAATGATATTGAGTGCGTGAAGGGGGATGGAATAAAATATCACTAATCATTAGCGCATCCAGCATTAAAACTCTCACTCTCGTCATTTATTACTCAGTCCTGAAATGTTATTAACATAAAATATCTGTGTAACTTGTATGAATATTACAAAAGGAAATATACACTGTGTTTCAAAAGTAGCTTTACAACTTCGCAGGAGAATATAAATTTATTTGAAGGACGTGCGCAATATTTTTAAATGCACAAATTTAGCCAAACACATCAAGTTTCATGTGCCATACCAAGAAAGCTGGTAGGCCACGTGTTTCTGAAGACGCCGTGGAACAGATTAGGGAGAGCTTCGCTCGAACTCCACGCAAGTCAAAGAGACGTGCATCTCGGGAAAGAGGGATTCCACATGTGACTGTGTGGCGAGTGTTACGAAGACGTTTACACTTAAGAGTGGACAGATTATCCATGGTGCAAGCCATTTCAGATGGTGATAAACTGGCTCGTAAGCAATTTTGTACGGAAATGTTGCGGCGGGTTGAAGACGACGAAGGATTTCTGGACTCAGTACTTTTCAGTGATGAAAGCACGTTCCATGTCACTGGTAAGGTCAACACCCACAACTGCATGATTTGGGGTAGTGTAAGACCACGTGCCTTCCTGGAACATGTTCGTGACGGTCCAAAAGCTAATGTGTTTTGCGCCCTCAGCAAAAATAAAGTGTACGGCCCCTTCTTTTTCATGGAGAAGACCATTACCGGCATTGTGTATCTGGACATGCTCCAACAGTTCCTCATTCCTCAACTTCATGAAGACGACCAGGAAGGACGTATTCACTTCCAGCAAGACGGTGCACCCCCTCATTACCTCGGAGAAGTGCGCGAGTACCTCAACAACCGTTTCCAAGGTCGGTGGATCGGTCGGGCCGCACCAATAGCATGGCCACCGTGTTCCCCGGATCTAACACCTTTAGATTTTTCTTGTGGGGATTTGTTAAAGATCGAGTGTACGTGCCACCCTTAACTGCAAATGTGGCCGAACTCCGAACTCGAATTACCGCCGCAGTTGCTGAAGAGACACAGGAGATGCTACACCGCGTGTGGCAAGATATTGACTACAGATGGGACGTCTGCCGCATAACAAATGGAAGTCACATTGAACCATAAAAATCCGATGGACATAAAACTTGAAGTGTTTGACTACATTTCTATGTTCTGAAATTATATGTTTCTCCTATCAGTTCACCAATATCTCGCCCTCAAATTGTAAAGCTACTTTTGAAACACGCTGTATAAACAAAAAGCGCAATGAAATATAAAACAGAATATAAAGACGCAACTTTACAACACATTTATCTGGTATACTGTAAGATACTAAACTGTATTTTAATAAACCACCACATGCAAATGGTTGAGAAAGGGTGAGATAGCGGAATAAACAGACAATATTTAAACTGATCTGTTTCAACACAGACTGTTATAGAACTTACCACTTTGAGAGGTGAAAATGAATCATCTTTTCCATAAGTAATGGTTCTGTTCAACGTGCGTACAGGTAACAGCTGTAGAAGTGGGGCCGGCGCCATGTTTAGGCTAACCACCTCTCCTGAACTCAGCAGAGCAATGAGAACTGAAGGGAGTGAAGCGATAGCAAGCCCCAGGATCGGTGACAGAGGAGACGAGGAAGACATCCGAGTGCAGATGAGGTACTCGGCTGAACTCGGCTGATTCAGAAGTTCCAAAGGCAGTGAATCTGGAAATACACCTGAGTCTTACTTAAAGGGTTGCGTTATAAAGCCACAGAATAAATGCTTTTTTAATTATTTTTGATGATGGCCGAGTCAACACAGATTACAGCTCGCTACGTCCTATAACTTACCATCACGGGCTTTGGCGAATTCCATCAGATGCATAACAAAATGTAGAGACATCAAATGGACACCCGTGTCATGTGTACATAAATACCTGAAAACACAAGAAAAATTAAATGTATCAGGGATTTGAGGTCCTCGTGGCGGTAGAGATGTTTATGAAACGTATACATTTAGATGGTTACCTCCTACAAGACTACAAGGTGTCACAAACTAGAAGACCACAACTGACAAAAACTAAATAATTATCATATTAATGATCTCATATCCCCGACTTAATGGTACCTGCACCTTGTCGTGGTGGTGGGGCTTGAGTACGTCAGTGACCCCAAGAGCTACTGGTAGGGCCTCCCTAGCCAGATTGGTCGAGGGGGAGAGGTCAGACTAAGACAGGTACCCTAGTCCTCCAGGTTGGGAGTTGGTTGCAAGGCTAACAACCTTGCACCGTAAAAAGGAAGATGTTTCGAAACCTCGATCAAAGCCTCGGACAGGCGGACCTAACAGAGGACCGAACGGAAGAGGAGAATCGAGGAGGCTATGAACCGAATATGGACCGGAGAGCCATAGGAGAAGAATTATGAATCATCTTGCATAAGATTGGGCACGTAAGAGTAAGGGTTGTGGGTGGTTTATTCATTCCCTTCCACTGCCCACCTTGCAGCATCAATATGTAGTCACAAATACTTTTATTTTGTTAAATACACAAAGCATCAAATATTCTTTAGAATAAAAGTTTCAGATTGTAGTTAAATCTTTCTTTTGAGTTACGCACGAATTTGTTGTACAATGAGAATAATTACAAAGTTCATTTTCAGCTTTATGTAAAGTAAGGGTTATATAAAAGCAAAATCACAAACACTTCGTCTGAAAACTCCGTTAACTCCAAAGTTTAGTACATAATTTAATCTCTTTATTGCAGCATACGTCAGTAAGAACAATATGGGGCATTCGAGTGTCCACATACCTTGATTCTGTTCCACTGTCATGATGCAGATAAATGGGACATGTGTACGTGTCATCGTCGTCATCATCATCGAGTGCTAGTCCCAGCTCCAGCTCAACTGACTCAAGAACATGCAGCGCAATGTGAGGCGTATGAAGACTGTAGGTAGATCCATACTGTGACCATGACGACTATAAACAAGACATAATTTGTAAATCGAAATACGGAAAAGGCTTATGAATGATCTGAGATGGAACCAAATACCTGGTGGGGAGAAGAAATATATTATCAATTTTCTCATAATTAACATAAGTAACAAGGCCATTAACACAACTAGTAGATTGTAAATTCAACAGGTTAATGACTCTCTTTTTTTGTACCGTCGGGTCGGAGCCGACCCCTGGTGACGTCATGAACAAGTTCCCTCTGATACGTTTCCTCGGCAGATGATCCAGAAGTGGTTTGCCGTTGCCTTCTTCCGCGTTCTTCAAATGATGATGAAAACAGAGTAATTGTTGGGATGCCACGGAGAAACCGGGGAAGCCCCCGGAGGTAAACTCCGTGAAACCTGGACCATGGCCTTGCCCGACACAAGTTATAAATCCGGGCACCACCGGGAATTGAACCCGGGACCCCAGACAAGCCCAGAGTTCTGACCGCTAGACCACCGTGGCGGTTAATGACTGTTACTACAGGGAATCTAATCTGTGTTTATGCCGGCAAGATAGACATTTGTTCATCCATGCCAGCCGACTGCATTCCATCGGATCTCAGTACAACCCCTGGTTTAGCATGGTTAGCTATATTCACAAACACTGATGATATTAATACGGCACATTTTCTGAAATGAGTTAACTATTTCTCATGACACAGAGCAACAGAATATTACGATAAGACCAGACGAAGGACACGAATGAGTTGAAATGGTCCGTAAATTGACTTCCCCTGATCTAGATACCGTAAACAGTTTTTCTCTAGAATTTGTAAGAAACGTTGGCTCACTCTTTTATCGTGACCGTTGTCTTCGTCATCATCGTCTGCGCAGGTGAGTAACACGCAGTGGTAGAGGGTGGCAGAACAGGTAGCGATTACCACAACTGGTGGCACACTCTGCAAGCACAGAATGGAGCAAGCATCTACCCCGTAGTTGTCATCTGCTGGCGGATACATGGAGAGTGGCCCGTGCACCGTCGGTTTCTGTGAACTGTGACCAGCGGATGGAAATTACTGTTTAGAGGGACGATTACAGGTTCAGACCCCTCCTACAGCATCCGCAGCTTCATTATCATATAAGTATATTTATGTTCAGTTGCGAAGGTGGAGGGGGAGTTACAAATACAAAAATGTGTGATACGTAACAAAATCTGTTATCACAACGATACTTGTATACTGAAGGGGGATGTTTGAACACAATCCCTCTTTCTTAAATTATCTGATGTGATCTTTCTTCAATTATCTGGTGTGACCTTGAAACATTTATCACAGGGTTACATTGAGACAAGGTGGAAGGGGAGGATCTGCAGGTTCAAAAACCTTCACCCCCTCCCCCTAACAAATCTGTGCTTATATATAAAAATAAAAGGAAATTTAGAGATTATCCAGTCTCCTGAACTCTCTGGAATGACACACATGACCTGTTTCTTCCAGAAACATTCTGAAAAAAAAAAGCTTGATGATGTGATGATGAAAGGAAATGTGTTTATGCCAGCAGTGTAGTTCATTTGTAGTTATACACGAACAAACTAACTAGATGGCTTACGGAACCCGAAGGTTCATCACCGAATTAACCAAAGCCCTCCACCAGTTCCTGTCCTGGGCCAACAAAATCCAGTCTCCTTCGACTCCAATCTCCCATAGATCCCGCCTGACATTATCCTCCTATCTACGTCTAGCTGAATCCTCTGTTATTTACATTAAACATTATCGTCCAGTTCCCTCCATGGATATTTCTTAAAATGCTTCTAGCTTATATATTTAATTAACCCAGTAACTTATTGCAGTGCAGATTTTATTAAAAAGGTTGGGTATTGTGGGTTATCGGGACACATCGCTTTAAAATTAGGTTAGGTTAGGTTAGGTTAGGTTAGGTTAATGTGTGTGGATAAATGACATATACTTGAAAGTTATTATATTTTATTCCAATAAACGACAAATTATTATATTTTATTTGGATATGCATGAGATGTTAATTGTTGTTACAACCTGTCGCCGGAGGCCAAAATCCGCTTATAGATTTTTGAATCGTTCTAAAAATATCGCCGGTATCATTTATACGCCACCACATGAAGAACCGAGTATACGGGTATACGCATGCGCAGTTTTCCGTCCAATCCAAGTCCAGATATTCGACTCTCCCGTTTTGTGTCTCGATAACCCGCATGTGGCAAGATATTGACTACAGATGGGACGTCTGCCGCATAACAAATGGAAGTCACATTGAACCATAAAAATCCGATGGACATAAAACTTGAAGTGTTTGACTACATTTCTATGTTCTGAAATTATATGTTTCTCCTATCAGTTCACCAATATCTCGCCCTCAAATTGTAAAGCTACTTTTGAAACACGCTGTATAAACAAAAAGCGCAATGAAATATAAAACAGAATATAAAGACGCAACTTTACAACACATTTATCTGGTATACTGTAAGATACTAAACTGTATTTTAATAAACCACCACATGCAAATGGTTGAGAAAGGGTGAGATAGCGGAATAAACAGACAATATTTAAACTGATCTGTTTCAACACAGACTGTTATAGAACTTACCACTTTGAGAGGTGAAAATGAATCATCTTTTCCATAAGTAATGGTTCTGTTCAACGTGCGTACAGGTAACAGCTGTAGAAGTGGGGCCGGCGCCATGTTTAGGCTAACCACCTCTCCTGAACTCAGCAGAGCAATGAGAACTGAAGGGAGTGAAGCGATAGCAAGCCCCAGGATCGGTGACAGAGGAGACGAGGAAGACATCCGAGTGCAGATGAGGTACTCGGCTGAACTCGGCTGATTCAGAAGTTCCAAAGGCAGTGAATCTGGAAATACACCTGAGTCTTACTTAAAGGGTTGCGTTATAAAGCCACAGAATAAATGCTTTTTTAATTATTTTTGATGATGGCCGAGTCAACACAGATTACAGCTCGCTACGTCCTATAACTTACCATCACGGGCTTTGGCGAATTCCATCAGATGCATAACAAAATGTAGAGACATCAAATGGACACCCGTGTCATGTGTACATAAATACCTGAAAACACAAGAAAAATTAAATGTATCAGGGATTTGAGGTCCTCGTGGCGGTAGAGATGTTTATGAAACGTATACATTTAGATGGTTACCTCCTACAAGACTACAAGGTGTCACAAACTAGAAGACCACAACTGACAAAAACTAAATAATTATCATATTAATGATCTCATATCCCCGACTTAATGGTACCTGCACCTTGTCGTGGTGGTGGGGCTTGAGTACGTCAGTGACCCCAAGAGCTACTGGTAGGGCCTCCCTAGCCAGATTGGTCGAGGGGGAGAGGTCAGACTAAGACAGGTACCCTGGTCCTCCAGGTTGGGAGTTGGTTGCAAGGCTAACAACCTTGCACCGTAAAAAGGAAGATGTTTCGAAACCTCGATCAAAGCCTCGGACAGGCGGACCTAACAGAGGACCGAACGGAAGAGGAGAATCGAGGAGGCTATGAACCGAATATGGACCGGAGAGCCATAGGAGAAGAATTATGAATCATCTTGCATAAGATTGGGCACGTAAGAGTAAGGGTTGTGGGTGGTTTATTCATTCCCTTCCACTGCCCACCTTGCAGCATCAATATGTAGTCACAAATACTTTTATTTTGTTAAATACACAAAGCATCAAATATTCTTTAGAATAAAAGTTTCAGATTGTAGTTAAATCTTTCTTTTGAGTTACGCACGAATTTGTTGTACAATGAGAATAATTACAAAGTTCATTTTCAGCTTTATGTAAAGTAAGGGTTATATAAAAGCAAAATCACAAACACTTCGTCTGAAAACTCCGTTAACTCCAAAGTTTAGTACATAATTTAATCTCTTTATTGCAGCATACGTCAGTAAGAACAATATGGGGCATTCGAGTGTCCACATACCTTGATTCTGTTCCACTGTCATGATGCAGATAAATGGGACATGTGTACGTGTCATCGTCGTCATCATCATCGAGTGCTAGTCCCAGCTCCAGCTCAACTGACTCAAGAACATGCAGCGCAATGTGAGGCGTATGAAGACTGTAGGTAGATCCATACTGTGACCATGACGACTATAAACAAGACATAATTTGTAAATCGAAATACGGAAAAGGCTTATGAATGATCTGAGATGGAACCAAATACCTGGTGGGGAGAAGAAATATATTATCAATTTTCTCATAATTAACATAAGTAACAAGGCCATTAACACAACTAGTAGATTGTAAATTCAACAGGTTAATGACTCTCTTTTTTTGTACCGTCGGGTCGGAGCCGACCCCTGGTGACGTCATGAACAAGTTCCCTCTGATACGTTTCCTCGGCAGATGATCCAGAAGTGGTTTGCCGTTGCCTTCTTCCGCGTTCTTCAAATGATGATGAAAACAGAGTAATTGTTGGGATGCCACGGAGAAACCGGGGAAGCCCCCGGAGGTAAACTCCGTGAAACCTGGACCATGGCCTTGCCCGACACAAGTTATAAATCCGGGCACCACCGGGAATTGAACCCGGGACCCCAGACAAGCCCAGAGTTCTGACCGCTAGACCACCGTGGCGGTTAATGACTGTTACTACAGGGAATCTAATCTGTGTTTATGCCGGCAAGATAGACATTTGTTCATCCATGCCAGCCGACTGCATTCCATCGGATCTCAGTACAACCCCTGGTTTAGCATGGTTAGCTATATTCACAAACACTGATGATATTAATACGGCACATTTTCTGAAATGAGTTAACTATTTCTCATGACACAGAGCAACAGAATATTACGATAAGACCAGACGAAGGACACGAATGAGTTGAAATGGTCCGTAAATTGACTTCCCCTGATCTAGATACCGTAAACAGTTTTTCTCTAGAATTTGTAAGAAACGTTGGCTCACTCTTTTATCGTGACCGTTGTCTTCGTCATCATCGTCTGCGCAGGTGAGTAACACGCAGTGGTAGAGGGTGGCAGAACAGGTAGCGATTACCACAACTGGTGGCACACTCTGCAAGCACAGAATGGAGCAAGCATCTACCCCGTAGTTGTCATCTGCTGGCGGATACATGGAGAGTGGCCCGTGCACCGTCGGTTTCTGTGAACTGTGACCAGCGGATGGAAATTACTGTTTAGAGGGACGATTACAGGTTCAGACCCCTCCTACAGCATCCGCAGCTTCATTATCATATAAGTATATTTATGTTCAGTTGCGAAGGTGGAGGGGGAGTTACAAATACAAAAATGTGTGATACGTAACAAAATCTGTTATCACAACGATACTTGTATACTGAAGGGGGATGTTTGAACACAATCCCTCTTTCTTAAATTATCTGATGTGATCTTTCTTCAATTATCTGGTGTGACCTTGAAACATTTATCACAGGGTTACATTGAGACAAGGTGGAAGGGGAGGATCTGCAGGTTCAAAAACCTTCACCCCCTCCCCCTAACAAATCTGTGCTTATATATAAAAATAAAAGGAAATTTAGAGATTATCCAGTCTCCTGAACTCTCTGGAATGACACACATGACCTGTTTCTTCCAGAAACATTCTGAAAAAAAAAAAGCTTGATGATGTGATGATGAAAGGAAATGTGTTTATGCCAGCAGTGTAGTTCATTTGTAGTTATACACGAACAAACTAACTAGATGGCTTACGGAACCCGAAGGTTCATCACCGAATTAACCAAAGCCCTCCACCAGTTCCTGTCCTGGGCCAACAAAATCCAGTCTCCTTCGACTCCAATCTCCCATAGATCCCGCCTGACATTATCCTCCTATCTACGTCTAGCTGAATCCTCTGTTATTTACATTAAACATTATCGTCCAGTTCCCTCCATGGATATTTCTTAAAATGCTTCTAGCTTATATATTTAATTAACCCAGTAACTTATTGCAGTGCAGATTTTATTAAAAAGGTTGGGTATTGTGGGTTATCGGGACACATCGCTTTAAAATTAGGTTAGGTTAGGTTAGGTTAGGTTAGGTTAATGTGTGTGGATAAATGACATATACTTGAAAGTTATTATATTTTATTCCAATAAACGACAAATTATTATATTTTATTTGGATATGCATGAGATGTTAATTGTTGTTACAACCTGTCGCCGGAGGCCAAAATCCGCTTATAGATTTTTGAATCGTTCTAAAAATATCGCCGGTATCATTTATACGCCACCACATGAAGAACCGAGTATACGGGTATACGCATGCGCAGTTTTCCGTCCAATCCAAGTCCAGATATTCGACTCTCCCGTTTTGTGTCTCGATAACCCGCAAGTACCAAAGATTGTAACTGATCATGAAATTCTATACTTATTACGGAATCCAGAGTTTCACATTTGTGTTTTTATAGCAGTATCCACATGACAGTGATGAACAAGTCGTTGGTACGGGAATTCTGACAGTAAATTGTTCTCTTACCTATCAGCTGTTATGGGTGACGTCACTGAATATACATCACCATTCCCGCGTAATACAAGCACTGGCCAAACGACGGTATTTGGGTCAAATCGTCCGGCTGCACCATCTTTTGGACGTTCCTAGAATCACATGGATATATTCAGAATTTAATTGCAAGTAGAGATGGCGCTGGCAAACGCATGACTACATCCGCCATCTCCTGTAGACTTCTAGAGTCATAATGGCAACATCACTTCAAGAAGTCGCATTACACCACAGGGAATTCAATTAATCTTAAAAACAAGAAATAGGTCTGTCGGTAAAAAGTTGTTACTCCGTTTTATCATTTTTAAAACGAGGTTGCAGAAGGAGGCTTATGACGGCACACAAATGTAGTTAGTCGACCATACAATTTATATATAAAATTTGCAACGTATTACGTACGGAATTAATGAATATGATGATAATGGAATTTTAAAGTAGACAGTCTTTTTAAATTAGAGCCACGTATGACGTAAACCTGTATTAGTTCATTTCCTGGCTAATGTGCACGGCAGGACATAACTACTTCGTTATGACTTCCAACGAAGGCACTCATTTTATGGACGTAACATTTTATAAAATTCATATTTGCCCCCTTCATCTTACTCCTATATCCCCCCCCCCCACAGATGACGTGTCTGGAAGTTAAAATTCGAAGTTTCTAACCAATAAATTGCAGTAAAGACGACGGGTTAGAAATGGCATAAAAGTGAAATGGGGTTAACTTCCTGATATAAAAAGTCAGAGTTTCCCTTTGTTATTGCTTCAAAGATCTTGAAATAGCCATTTATACTTCCTTCCTAAAGGAAAATGAAGAAGGAAACGTTACTAAAGCAATCAATTAGAGAAAATATTTCAGAGATTAATACATTCGAAAGTTAGAACGTACGGAATTAATGGTGCTGAAAATAGCCTTCCTCTCCGGAGAAGCAGCTTCAGGGACCATGTTCACGTGACCTGTCTTACTGCCTAATCACAAAACACATCGTTTAAATTATTCAGCAAAGGCTTGAATGCTGTTTCAAGATAATTCAGGTACCTCGTTCTGTTGTGCAAATATTTTATAAGCCTAATGTATATTAACGATCGGTAAACAGTTAGGACACTGTCAGTAAATACAAGAAGCAACTGTTTCTTGACTTTTGTACAATTTTTATCTCGGTTCTAGGGGTCACAGGACAGCGGGAAAAGTTTTTAACAGCGTGCCGAGATACTTTTTCAGCTCGGTCGTTCCGCTACCAAAGAGATTTTCATTTTGGCTTTGTGTTATTTCCATGCCATGGTGCGTCGTCAGGTTGCGGATGGAGGAGAAGGCCTGGAGGGCAGCTGCGAATATGTTGAATAAGCAGTCGCGGACAGCCGACAAGGGGTGGTCCTCCAGTACGGGGGTTGGGCAAACAACCCTCAACGTGACATTCATAAACATATCTGGACTTTTTCTCACGGTGTCACACACAATCTGACAGATCATTTGTTAGCTGACAACAGCCAACACTCGAGTATACTAGACGTCAGATTTTACAGAGGAGGTGACTGCGATACCGACAATTACTTGGTAGTGGCAAATTTAAGGGGGAGACTTCCAGTAAGTAAACGAGCAAGGCAAAAGTCTGATTTAGAATGATTTGATTTGAACAAACTCAATTATGATGACGTTAACGGAAATTACAACATAGAAATCTAAAATAGATTTGCAATTGTATTTGGGAATACACAGATTCAACACGTCCTGATTCAGAGACGGCGATACTCCGGTCTTTCAGGGAGGATAACTACAATGCTCACCGCTATTTGGTGGCGTTAAAAGTTTTGGTGCTCTGAAAGCGGCTTCTTCACTCTCAATTTTGGAGGGACGAGGTTCAGTCGCCAGCCCAATTCATGTGGGCAATGTAACATTTGGTATCGAGACATTTAATATGAAGAGGTTTACTTCTACAGTTATAATTGTTTATTTTAACCGTCTAATCACAATAAAATATTTTATTAAATATTAAAATATTATTACTATAATTAACATTTAATATTTAAAAAATATTAAAATATATTAAAATGATGCTCTTTCTATCGAAATGTTCGATTTACAATTAGAGTATCATCTTTTTCACGACATATTAAATGTTAATTATAGTAATAATATTTTAATATTTAATAAAATATTTTATTGTGATTAGACGGTTAAAATAAACAATTATAATCATCACAATATGACGCAACAATATCATCTTCTACAGTTATGTTTATACGTAAATGTTCTGAATGTACTCAAGATTAGACTCTTGATTCAGTTGTTATTTTCTACGTAAAAATTGCACCTGTTCTAGTCCACTACCTGAAATATGCACTTCGAGTGTCATAGAATATCACTTATCCAAATGTTAATTATGGTAATATTTTAATATTTAATAGGAATTTTATTGTGATTAGACTGACAAGATTTAAACAAATATATATTTATCACAATATGACGCAACTTTATCATCTCATCTTAAGTTCTTAAAGTATATTAATGAAGAAATACTGAAAATTTTGTTGAGTAGATCTGGAAAATTGCCATTTCAAAAGCGAAATGACGTCTTAAGGGATTAGCTAGTGCAGTATAAAATCTCTCCCACCTTAATATTTACCCATATATTCACATGCTGCCTTTCGTTGGCAAAAAACGAGTTTATGGAGACCGAGTCATGGCTGAGGCGGATGTGACGTGGAACCTCTGCCCTGTTGCAGGAGTTTAGGTGGCGTATTAAGAACAACCATGAAATCGCCTTAAATTAAAATAGTCACAGTACTTGGTCCTGTTTTATTTTGAACCATAACGTTTCATTATAAAACCTACTTTACTTAAAACTGAAAGCTGAATCGACCGAATATCCATTATCAGCTGGGCAGTGTCCATAGTTACGAATAATTAACAAATTGATCCGATTCGTATACAAACTAAGTTAACCATGCGTGAACATCGAGCTTCCCAGTAAAAGGGCTCGAATCTCCGATCTGTAATTTGTTATAAATTAAGGTTCAGGTATAATGATGACACGTCCAATTTACCAACGTAAAAATCGAGTATTCAATGTTTCTGTATATTATTTAAACCTATACGAATCATTGACTCATTTTGGCGTAAGAAGACGATTTGTGCGTTGAAATCCAGTTCACACGAAGCCTTTGGACACTCGCCAGTTTAGTCCTGTCACAATCCGTTAGAATATTAGGTGGCTGTCTTCTGGGATATAGCGCCGTGCAGTCTGATATAAATTTACCAACGAGGTGATATTGTTGCGTCATATTGTGATGATTATAATTGTTTATTTTAACCGTCTAATCACAATAAAATATTTTATTAAATATTAAAATATTATTACTATAATTAACATTTAATATTTAAAAAATATTAAAATATATTAAAATGATGCTCTTTCTATCGAAATGTTCGATTTACAATTAGAGTATCATCTTTTTCACGACATATTAAATGTTAATTATAGTAATAATATTTTAATATTTAATAAAATATTTTATTGTGATTAGACGGTTAAAATAAACAATTATAATCATCACAATATGACGCAACAATATCATCTTCTACAGTTATGTTTATACGTAAATGTTCTGAATGTACTCAAGATTAGACTCTTGATTCAGTTGTTATTTTCTACGTAAAAATTGCACCTGTTCTAGTCCACTACCTGAAATATGCACTTCGAGTGTCATAGAATATCACTTATCCTCTTGAAATTACTTTTGGTCTCTTTTCTCATAAATAATTCGAAGAACATGGATGTCTGCGTGCTGTTTACAGCTTCTTCTGCTGAACGTGCCTGTCAAGTGTAGACTGTAGCTATACATTCACAATCACGTTAAGTCATACTTCGACACAGAGAGAGAGAGGCAAATGGATGAATCTCTTCAAATCTACCACAGCGCTACTAGAATACGATAAAATGAAAGTACTACAAGTTTTCAGTTCACGAAAACTCAGCAACGGAGTAAAAAAAAACCCCACAAACAACCACATCGAAATAGAAATATTAAAAGTAACAGAAGTTGGGGAGAGGAACTATGCAGACAATACTGTCTTCAGTACAGTGGCGAAGGAGGGGGGTGGTGGTTGTGGGTGGTCTACTTTTACTCGCCAACTCTCTGAAATGCACAAGCAAAGATTTTCCAATAACGATTTCAGAATTCGTGAGCAGAATAGTTAATCAGTGAGAAAATAAATATGTTTCACTTGGCGTCTCGGTGTCGCCATTAAGCCGTGGTAAAACTCCTCTATAGACGAAAACTAAGGAGACACCATCGCGATAAGCAAATGGGCCTGGGAAATACAGAAAAGCGAATGGCTGGAATTAAGAACAAAATATTACTTAATCAAGACAATTGCATTGCGACATTGAACCTGCAGATTCATCTCTTGTTCATATCGGTCTTCTGGCACGTATCGCTGTGTGGACTTCGTGGTAGATCCCTGGCGTTTCGGAAGAACATAGTATGTATCTCTCTATAAGTCCACGTGGTGTAACAAAGCATAAGACCGACATCGATATCCTATCCCTCGTGACAACCTCAAACCTCATATTCCACTCTTGAAGCACAGCCACACGGAAAATAATACCACACACCCGCGGTTTTGCTTATTCGTGGAAAAATTTGTACATCGCGGCTTAGGTCCCTCGTTCTTTCACGGCCATTTCTGCGCAGGCGCATCTTTCCGCCTGTCTCAGGCACGAACTCTGCTGACGTCATTCCAATAAACACCAACACTAATTCTTTCATACTTATTAATTAGACATATTACGTACGTATCGTGTCTCAAGGGTGCCTTTGGTTCCCCTAACCCCATTTTTCCTATAAGGTCTTAACTTCGCGCATCGCGGTTTTACCGTTCGCGGGAGGTTTCAAGATTTTTTATTTTATTTAGTGTTCTGTCTGACGACAGGTCCATATGAACAGGATCCTTCCATCCTTTTCTCGGACTGGGACCTGTTCATATACGTTCTTGGCAGATGATCCAGAAGTGCTTTGCCATTGCCTTCTTCTGTGTGTGAATGAAGTAATTGTTGGGATGCCACGGAGAAAAACTCCGTGTTGCCTAGATCACGGCCTTGCCCAACACAAGTTATAAATCCGCCCTTTTATGTAATGGACACAAACTTTTTTGGGGTGAGGGCAATCAAGAGGATATTTCAGTTCACACACTCATGTTTTTCTACAACTGAGGTGCTCTTATTATTTTGACATTTTCAAGGTGCCTGCAGTCAACTGTTCTTGGGGTGGAAATCTGCAAGACTTGAAGAAGCATCTCACAAATTCGCACAAAGAATGGACATACGAATACAAGGGAAAATTTATGACTGGCTTGGTAGACATCATAGTGTTCTGTCTGATGACAGGTCCATATGAACAGGATCCTTCCATCCTTTTCTCGGACTGGGACCTGTTCATATACGTTCTTGGCAGATGATCCAGAAGTGGTTTGCCATTGCCTTCTTCTGTGTGTGAATGGGATGCCACGGAGAAACCGGGGAAGCCCCGGAGGAAAACTCCGTGTTGCCTAGACCACGGCCTTGCCCAACACAAGTTATAAATTCGGGCACCGCCGGGAATCGAACCCGAGACCCCAGGATTACAAGGCCAGCGTTCTAACCGCTAGACAACCGTGGCTTCGTTTCAAGATTACTCAAATTAAAAAAAAAAAACATTTACTTTCACGCTTCATCCAAATCATCAAACAGATTTGCATTAAAATTCGTGTTGGGGGGTCTATAATAAATTCTGTCGCGTAAATTCCCTGTCGATTCACATTAATCCACTGCAAGACGAAACTTCCACGACGCGCATATCCTGCGTCGTGAATATTACACATTTAAATAGGTAAATTGCACAGCGCGTTACATTTTATTAAGACACGAAACTTGTACTCAATGAAACAGCATGCAACAAGAATTCAAGTGCACGCCAAATAATACGAAAATCAAATTTGAGGTTAGCGTTAGTAAACAGGAGGCGACTGGAGATAAACGAATAGGGAATAGACAACATTTCAGATTAGACGAGGGCAGAAATAAAACAAAAACTACAAGAAACAGGACAAATACATTACTCACAAAAAAATATAAAATATATAATTAAAACGACACGCTGGAGACAAAAAAACTATCATCGGTCAAGCATAAAAAACTGATCAAACAGACTGACAGTACACCGAAAAACAAACATTAGATTCAGTTAAATAAAGAGAAAAAAAAAACGATTAACACCCTCTCTTTATCCAGCGTGTGTGAGCGCTGAACGAATCATTCTGCCATCAATAACACAAGTGACAGTGGTGTGAGGTGTGTGATATACCCCACAGGCAACAGTTGGGGGGAGGGACACATGCTCCCTGCTTACCCTGTGACCAACACCAGAGCCGCGGCAGATAAAACAAAATACACGCACAAAAGGACTACACTTCAAGTCCAGTTCACTTGCCGGCACCTCCACTCTATTGGAACTCAAATGTTCCCAATTATTCACCATTGAGAGTTAGCATTCATTAAGCTTTATTCGTTTGTGTTCAGCAGAAGAGTGGATTAACTGGGCGACAGTGGAATAAAACCGAATTTTTAAACGAAAGTCCTTACGTCTCGAGAGCTGTTTTAATTTTGGCTTCGTTTTCGATTTCGTCACAGCCAAAAAGAAAACCACAGGACTCCAAAATAAACATTAGTGCAGCCTGGTGACAAAGCGCTGTACCATGTAATGATTATATGACCTTTGGGCATTGAAATTAATTTTATTCTACGTTCCACCTTTTACGTGATATTTAAACTAAGATACGAGGTGCGATCAGAAAGTTTCAAGACTGCGCGTATAAAAACCCGTACACTTATCTCAGGTAAAAATTCATCCATCACCCTCGAAGTAGTTCCCCTGGGAGTGAACACAACGATCCCAGCGCCGCTGCCAAGCCTGGAAGCATCTCTGGAAATCTTTCTTTGTCAGCCTGTCAAGCACCATCTGCGATTCTGCCTGAATCTCTTCTATCGTCTCAAATCTCCTTCCCTTTAGCTGAATTTTCATCTTTGGGAAGAGGAAGAAGTCACACGGAGCTTACAAAGGAAGTTGGAGTCGGTTCTTGCAAGATCTTTGAGCTCCTAACAAACGAGAAGTCGATTCTGCCATCATCGACAGAGGTTCGGTCATTTTTAAAACGTGAATGCCACACAAACGTTTGTGCACGACCCATTGCGGACTCCCCAAATGCTTGCTTTAGCATTTCATAGGTTTCCGTAGCCGTTTTGGCGAGTCTTTGGCAAAATTTGATGCACATGCCATTCCGAAACTGCAGGAGGGTCGGTGTAATGCACTACCAAAACGCCCGTAACTAAGAAACAAATGCTAATTCGATGATGCCGGCTGGCACACTGATTCACTATGTATGTAGGCCGCACCCCCTAGCGGCAGAAGCTCGTACTACATCCGGTTCGCCCTCTATTGACACAGTCTTGAAACTTTCCGATCGCACCTCGTATCACGTACTGGAAGATCTCGTCGGTCTGTCCATCTTAAATCACACGATGAATTTAGATTAAATTTGGTGTTGCGGATCTGCACTGAAAGATTGTGGGCGCATTTAACTATGATCAGAATCGAAGTAACATAAACCATACTTTAAAAAAAAGGCTGAATATCATCTCATCGTTATTTTAAGAAATTCAAACTTTAAAAGAAGTGTTACATAACGTAAATTATATACCTCATTAAGATCTACAACTTTAATTTGAAACATTAGTATATTTAACAATACTTTAAAACAAACAGTTTACGAAATATAGCGAGGAGCAGAGTCCTTACTGCTGCCTTGGATTAATACGGTGAGTTCATTACACAGCGGTAACCGCATTCCTTAAGTAACATTTTAATATTATATTTATATTTTTCACTTTGTGTCGAGTGATCACCCTTGAGATTCCCTGGTTGAAGAAAAAGAATAAGATGATAATAATAATATATAAACAGCAATATAATTAAAAAGCAACAACATAATGTAACACTGGACCCTTTTTGACAAAAGTCACTCTGCTGGTCAGGAAATTTTCCGCTTTTCTAAATTCCAAAGTTTCCCTTCCACACCACACCATCACTCTCTTTCCTTCTTCTTTACAACAGATTTCAAAATTGCATCTCCCATACGTGTATGCCTCTCAGTTCAAGACCACAACATACGAAACATATGGAACAATACTGGACCAGCAATCGCTGAACGTTGTCGTGGGTGGATTTTTAAAGACAGCGTCACCTGTGGGACAAAATTAAAAAGTTTCACTCACTTTTACTGAAGGAACGGGTGGGGCGAAATCGAAATCAACTGCCGCGTCTCCGAGTCCAACCAAGAACGGAAGACGAGTGACGCTGCTGAGCGTCGCGGAGGACCGGCGACCCAGCGGCCACACCTGTTGAAGCTGTGGCTCAATGCTGCCCGTCTCGTACAGTCTGCGGACACACAGGGGCATAAGCCTAACGCAGCCTTCTCTTACAAGATGTGAAATACTGCATTCAAATACGAGAGCTTCAACGAAGACGGGATTTCGAGGGTGAAGTGCGATGTACCGTCTGGGACGCGGCCATTTTGGAACAGCAACATCCGAACTACGAACAAAAGTAACTGACCATCCCTGGTCTAGTTGGTAACTACAACAGATTTATGAACTCTTGTTCTCACGTCTATACTGAATTTATGAATTAAAGGGGCAATTATTACGTTCAATTTTTAATAACCATGCAACTCCATTGAAAATAAGGTGTTAATAGTTGCATATCTTGCCAAAAAATTCTTTATTTCATGAAACCCAAAGACTCATTGCAGTATTCACAAAAGACTGTAACTTAACCCCTTCATGCACCAACCGTATGCACTATATTTTCCCTAATTAAAATTCACAACCCCGTATGCGTGCTGCATTCATCGTCCATCTTCTCCAGCATCATCATAGCACTCCTCCCCAGTTTTAACAAACAGACTAGCACAAAGGAACGTACCGAAGAGAGTTCTCCGACGTGAGTACGAAGAGTAGCGAATCGGTGGGCGAACCAGGGTGCCAGCGGACTCGCCTCACCTCCACCTGCGGGCTACACATGAAGAACCTCTCGTCCAATATGCGGCATCTGTAACAATCGGCAAAAAAATGAGATTTCAGCAAGAAGGCCAACACATCGGAGCTACATCTCCTGCGGACCTGCAACCGCCCACACACACACACTTCACAACCAACATCCGTAACCCCATGAAGAGGATTTCTTATTGAAAAGCTGATCAAGAAATTCACACAATTTCATACAACCCATTGGTTCATTACCGTGTTCACAAAAGCCACCGCATCCCCCTGTCACAAACCATATTAATCCAGTCCACATCCTCCCATCTACATCTAGATCTTCCCAGTGGTCTCTTTCCTTCATACTTTCCATCCACAATTGTCGTCGCATTTCTCATCTTCCCCAAGCACAAGCGAACATGGAAGACGACGTGACAGGACATCGGGCATCACCCGACGACGCAAAATCATGTAAAATGTCCGGAAAATCCTGGATCAATTACAACATACACAGAAAAGCAGCACATTTATTTTTCTATTTCTTTTTTTTCCGCAGTTTTCAAAATAATTATTAAACTGTTCTTTCATCCATCATCCAATTCGTATTATCCGCTTGCTGTGGTACCACATGTCACATCCAGGAACAGTTTTCAGCGGGACCCTCATTCATGATTTGGCTACTAAGCAAATCAGCTTTATCACATGTAATTCAGTCTTACCATGACCCGGCACTTACTTATTTATATCTGCATTGGCAACACTTTATTTCATTATCTCATCATGACTTGATGCTTCTAATTCGCGTTAACATTTTAATTTCTAACACCACAACGAACCACGAAAAATCATCTTTAAGTTGTGCTTCGTAAATCTCTGTCGGTTATCACAGAAGAGCGATTCGAATGGAGAAAATGTTCGTTCCATATAACGTGATAATTCCTGCATCGTGTAATACACCATGCCATTGGTTTTCTTCCTCTAATGCAAATAAAATCTAGCAAATTACTTAAAATCGACCTAAAGACACAGGCAGCAACCATCAAAACGTAGGTAAACGTCTACAAGACTACACGGAGCTACAGCCCAGTAGTAAACTACATTCAATTCACAGTCAAACTCGAAGCCGTGAGAACCTCAAATCCTACACGGCTTTAAACCTTTTATCCTCACTGAAATACAAACGGAGTTTTTGTCTGACTGCATCAGCTTTCGAGCAATCAATTTTGTTCAGTTTTTCATAGATGTAAACCAAGTTAGTTTGTAGCACCTTCAATTCATTTACTCCTGAGGTGATATTGTTGCGTCATATTGTGATGATTATAATTGTTTATTTTAACCGTCTAATCACAATAAAATATTTTATTAAATATTAAAATATTATTACTATAATTAACATTCGATTTAAAATTAGAGCATCATATTTTTCACGACATGTTTCGGTTTTCAATGAACCATCTTCAGGTGTATAATCGATATAAATTTAAATGTAATATTCTAAATGCAATCCTTCGTCAGATGTCCATTAAATATCAGTTATCCTCTTCTAGATCAATTGTACTTTGTTATCACATTCAATGTTGTTTCGTAAATGAATCAAAAACAATTCATTTACTCCATTAAATATGTCTTGCAATATTATAATAGAGGAACCATAGTCCCTGTCAAGTTCATTTGCTACAGAACAAAATATTTCAAAGTTTTCTGCATAATGCATTCAACCAGGTTGCCCACAGTGTAATTACCGGAGTAGGAGGGAGTGGTGTGTCTGGAGTTTTGTTTCCAAAGAACTCTGTTCTGGCTGGAAATTTCGCAATAATTTTCTTCTCATTAGCCACTAATTCGTCTAGAGCGGATAAAGCACACGAATTATTTCACAGATCCTGGGCGAAGCTACACATGTAACAAGTAGCTAAATGAAAATGATTCTGCTGTGTCTTTCATGTAGGGCGCAGAATCGGTAACCAGCAACAACACGTGTCAAATTGCACACCATCTGGCCACAGCGTCTGCACAGCTTCATGGACCACAAATGCTATTGATGTTTACTGCAAGAATTTCCTTGAATGACAATAAATTGTTTTCTGATAGCGTTTGATAGTTTTTTAAAACCCCAATAACAACATCTGTAAACTTCCTTGCCCTCGCATCGGCAGTTTCATCTTCCGATATCCAAAATATTTTCTTTCCAGCATAATACTCGAATTCTGTTCAAAGTTTCCTCCTAACTTTCAAGTAGACGGTTAATCCTTAAAGTTGAATCATGTGAAGGATCTTAGCAACTTGTTCAGTTACCTAGCAACAAGCAAAATAAGTCCACGAAGTAGAATTGTCTATGCAGAAAAGAAAAATTCTAACGTAAATCAATCATAAAAACCAGTAACATTTTATTTCAATCAGTCGGAAGCAAAATTTTTGAAGGCATTTTTAAGGCTTATGAAAAAATAGGTTAAATAATATGAATCCAGAAACACTACAAATGTCCCAACATGCATTTTCGTTCACTTCTGATGTAATCAAATCTTTGTGACTACGAAGTATACCAGCCCTCGATACTGGTACGGATCCCACGTTTATACGTCGATAAATGTGCACAGTCGAACACCTACGGAAGATATGATCTGCTACCTTCATCTTCAGGGTACAAGATAGATGCAACGTGTTCTTCCGAAATGTTGGTGACTGTGGTGGCGTAACGCAAATCATTCAGCGTCCCTGAAACCGAAATGTCTGACCTTGTGAATATTTGTTCAGGCAGTTCACCAGGACCCAGAATACAGGGGAGAACGCCGTTCAGGGCGACCGTAGTTTCACAATGTCCAAGACATATTTCATTACACCAGAGATCTCATGTAGACACTCCACACGTACAATTCTGTGGTTAGCCCGTGTCCAGCGGGAGGTTTTTGGGAGGGCATGGGTTGACGGCGGCGAGGGGGCATTTCAATTTTATAGCGCAAGGGAATTTTTTTTCGGGGAAAGAGAGGATTAAGCCACGTATAATGGTGTTTTTTTTTTATTATTTTTGAGCGGTTGGTGTATGAGAGGGTTGTGGTGAATTTTGGTTTCTCTATTACAAAAAAAAGGAGGGGAAGGGATTGGTTGGGAAGACGCAGGAAGGAGAGGGAAGGATGACGGAAGTTTGCATTGTTTCATAAGCTACTTCTTTCTCTCATGTCCAATGAAGATTTTGTGATAAAAATTAACTGTTCTCTTTCTGAACAAGAGCTGCCAATGGATTCGTTTGTTTATTACACGTACTCTGTGAATTAATTGCACAGAGTTTCATGTCCACATCAGTTCATAACTGAACTAGATAATAAAGAGTCCCAAATATGACGTCAGATCTACGCAGAGCCATTGGCCCACTCTGTAGAAACAAAATACAATATGGCTTTCACGCGACAGCGAAATTCTTACGTGATACGAAGAGACTGAGATACAGTCGAAACGGACCACACACATTTTCCAAATCCATTTGCGATTTTGTACTCCTCATTTGTCTTGATCCCTTAAAGGCTTCTGACAATTTCAGATTAAGTATGTCAATATTATGTTGGACACTATCCTAACGAATCTCTTGTATCATAAATTTGTGACGAGAGTTGGAATCGAACCCAGGATCTTCCCTTTATTAAGCTAAAATGCTAATCACCAGATAAAAGGATAGTTGTGTATCAGATATCAAGATTTAAGTTATTTAGATATTTCGTAGAACTCCTTCGGCGAGGTAACTATTGCAAAGTTGATCACAAAGTATTGGTACGAGTAGCGGTGTGCAAAACATTTCTGTGCATGAAACGCATTAAATACTTTTATATACCTCGTGTTACAATTGCGGTACCAATAACTTATAGCGTTTGAAAACTGAATGGATGAGGTCTTTTGATTATACAATATTAAATACCTACACAAATTACTACGCAGATCTCAGTGGATAATATACAGCGTAAAAACTATACGAAAATACGAACTCACAAAATGAGCACGTGTAAACCTGTTACCTGCCTTACGAGCAACTCTGCCTTTATCGGAAAACTGATTTGATCCCGAGAGTACACAGCTAATACTGAAGTATATTATCGGTAGCAACGTACTCGGGGTGGAGAGAAGAAATCGACCATGTTCCATACCATACGCTCTAGGTACCAATCCGAGAAGAAAGGTTTCTGTCATAATGACAAAGATCGCAAATCTCAACGACGCACGGAGACCTCGAAGGATTATTTGAAGACGGAAAAATTAAGCAAACAATGGAAGAATGAAATAAACCTGAAAAAGTGTCGGCCAGCAAAGTTTACACACGTCGGCTAACTTCTTGGTTGTAGAGCCATGCAATTTGGTAGGAGTTTACCGACGTTTCAGAGGTCCTTGTTGCGTGCTTCACAAGGGCGATCGCCCTGATGAAGAACACGCAGAAATGACCACCACTATATACGTTCATTTTATGCATATAATTCAAATAAGACAAATACATATTCCTTAAATTCAGTCCGTACCGAAAGGAAAACATAACACCTAACCATTACAAAGATTAAGTGGTAAATGCCTTTTAAGAAAGCAATTTCCGTTTATTCTGAGACATACAATACCCACAAATGGACTCTGTTGGCAGAATATAAGGTTACTGGATGTTAAGGCGGCTGGTACACATAGTCACCACTGTCTAAGAGATTATTTTATTATTTAGTGTTCTGTCTGACGACAGGTCCATATGAACAGGATCCTTCCATCCTTTTCTCGGACTGGGACCTGTTCATATACGTTCTTGGCAGATGATCCAGAAGTGGTTTGCCATTGCCTTCTTCTGTGTGTGAATGGAGTAATTGTTGGGATGCCACGGAGGAAAACTCCGTGTTGCCTAGACCACGGCCTGGCCCAACACAAGTTATAAATTCGGGCACCGCCGGGAATCGAACCCGAGACCCCAGGATTACAAGGCCAGCGTTCTAACCGCTAGACCACCGTGGCGGTTTCTAAGAGATTAAGGACAACAAATATGGAACGAAATAAGGGTCTTGCCTGTCCCTTAAGACATACATGTGAGAGATATAATGAAATACATAACACCCC